TTGCGCTAGTTACGTTTCAAGACCCACGGCGAGATGGGGAAAATCGCGAAGTCGGGGCGAGATAGTTATTGTATTATTGACGTATATATTTACGACCCTTTACGAACCTCTCCCACACTGTTATCAACCCTCCCTGGACTGTATTACCCTATATGCGCACTAGAGTTGTGTATAAGACGTACTGTCCACATTGAATAATTAAATACACGAGCGTATAAAACGATGTAGATGACGCTGTAATTATAAATTAAAATTCTATGTACATGCACCTGAAAAGGTCCATTTTATTTTAAATTATGAACGGGGAAAACAGACCCGACGCCGAGAGTTGATATTCTAGGATGAAGATGATGATGATGATTCTGATTCTGTTGCGCGATAATGTATGACGAGGACGGCGAGGACATCTAATGACATATATTTTGGGGAGTTGATCTCGCTCGCTTAACATGTAATAGGACGGCAGCAGAGGACAGTCTGAGATTCTTCTGTAACATGTAATAGGACAGCAGCCGAGGACAGTCTGAGATTCTTCTGTAACATGTAATAGGACAGCAGCGGAGGACAGTCTGAGATTCTTCTGTAACATGTAACAGGACAGCAGCAGAGGACAGTCTGAGATTCTTCTGTAACATGTAACAGGACAGCAGCAGAGGACAGTCTGAGATTCTTCTCTAAAATGTAATAGGACAGCAGTCGAGGACAGTCTGAGATTCTTCTGTAACATGTAATAGGACAGCAGTCGAGGACAGTCTGAGATTCTTCGTAACATGTAATAGGACGGCAGCAGAGGACAGTCTGAGAGTCTTCGTAACATGTAATAGGACGGCAGCAGAGGACAGTCTGAGGTTCTTCTGTAACATGTAAAAGGACAGCAGTCGAGGTCAGTCTGAGATTCTTCGTAACATGTAATAAGACAGCAGCAGAGGACAGTCTGAGATTCTTCGTAACATGTAATAGGACGGCAGCAGAGGACAGTCTGAGATTCTTCGTAACATGTAATAAGACAGCAGCAGAGGACAGTCTGAGATTCTTCCTGTTTCAAACTTAGGTCATTATTGGTCACAAGCGTTTATTTATATACTTTTTTTAAAACTCTTTTTAGGCTAGAAAATGATTTTTCACGGAAATAACGAAAATAGAAAATAGCGTGATATAGCTGAAATTTCGCAAGATTGGATTAAAAGAAAAAAAAAAACAAAAAACGATCGACTGAAGGAGCCGAAAAAAACAGAAACGCGACACAGA